CTTTTAAACCTAAAAAATGTACAAATATGCAATGTCCCCTCCCCAAAAAACATATCTTTGCTTTTTTCTTTCTTTTCATCACAATGGCTCCTTACATAAACGTTTGGAGGGGCTATAGAAAAGCTTTATACAGAGATGTGTTAAAGGACAAAGTCTGTGGTTAAGTCATAAACACTGCAACTAAAACAGACATGATACATGAGCACTGTTGCATTAATATTAACAATCTGATAATGAGTGTGCTGCTAATTAATATCCCAGGTGTTTTTCTAACACTCTAAACATTGAGGCCTGAAGAAAATACCTCTAGAGCAAAATGACTTAGTCACATTAATGTTACCTGCTTATGCATGTCTGAAGTCGGGCTTTATAATAAGTAATAAAAGTCCCATCAGCACAGGACTTGGGTAACAATATTCAAGTTTTCAGATTTTTAATAAATTTGAAAATGATGAAGCACATTATACACAATACACACCCAACGAAGAAGAATAAGAGCTATATCTTCTGTTGGTGTACAGCAACAGCACCAGGACAAAACAGAGGAAATATATAAAAAAGAAAAAAAAAGGAAAAACACAGAATTGCAGTACACCATTTTATTAAAACCTGTCCTAATAACTCCATTTACTGACCCATAGCCTTTTGTAATTTGGCGCCATCTAGTGGTTATATTATAAAAAAGCAACTAAGAAGGTTAAAGATGAATAGTGATTTCTGCAAAAGACATTTTAACATGTACTTGTTAAAGCACAGTAGTGTGTGATTTATAATGTTAAAGGTGGTTCCATGATATTCAGCAGTAACAATGGCAGAGCACACAGCTGTATTTATTCAGTTTGATATTTTTAATTTATTCTTCTACTGTGAAAAGGCCTGTTATGTGAGAAGAGATGTCTGTGTAGGCTCTCATTCATCAGGAATCCATGACTGTAGTTGCTCTTCAATAATACCTCCTGCATTACATCACTACACATTAATGAAGGAGTCCGGTTGATTTTTAAATTAATTTTGTATAAAACACACATCCTGCCAATAGAGCATATATACTTGAAGATTTGAGTATCCCACGGGCGGGTCTCACTGGGGGCGAATTCCCTTTATTTACATAATTATTAGGCTGTCGCTGCATGACATACTTTTTTACCTGTATTCTCTATGTACTTTTATAGTTAATGTTTTTAGTAATTAGACTTTATATTCGGGGGAAACATTAGTTTAGACTGCGTATAGTCATTCAATCAGCACGACTTTTTTGTACGAAGTAGCTATCTCCTCATTTCTCCAAAATTATCCCCTTCTAATTTATACAAATCAGGCTGCATTTTGTCATTAACTGTGTCACCACCATTGCTTGTTTATATAAATGAACGTCATACGCATCCCACATGCGTTTCATGTAACAAATTCATCATACTTGCATGTATCTTGCTACATCGTTTCAAACAAAACTTCAATCCCTATTTCATTTTCTATAGCACAAACACGGTACTCAACCAAAATCCGTATCTTCACACACAAGAATATAACAGATTGGAATATAATTTACCAATATTCTTCCACTGATTCCACTAAATCTAATAATTTTTAATTTTAACGTTTCCAACATAAATACCCAATATCCATTTTCAACCATATACTAACTCTACCAGCATTCACTACATTTAAGTCTCAATGTAGTGAAATTCATTTACAATATAAAGATTCACTTTAAACCAGTTTATTCTTTTCTATCATTCATATGTATGAATCATACTATGACCTTACAGTCTGCTTCATCAGATAGATTCGGTTTAGCCAATATCAAAACAGAAAATGTTTCCACCGTAATTTAGTTTAATCAGAAAACCTCTAATATTATCTTTGTTTAGTAAATTTCTTACCCACTTGGATTTACTACCTACAAAATAAAATCTTAACTAATAATTTTTTTTTTTTTACTTATTTCTTTTCATTTTATTACATTATTTATTTTTATTTCACACTCTTCTAATCTAATATTATAACTGAATCTAACTTATGATCATATCTCACAACTAATAAATCACATTAACCTTCTTACTCTTAAATGATAATTATATAAGTATTTTTTTTACAACTCTACTTCATTTCAACACATTTTAAATAAAAATTTTTAAACTATTAAATTTTCTTAATTCACTATACTATCTCTCCACCATCTTTCATACAATTTTTAAATGTACCCCCTATTAAACCTCACAAACATATATCTTTTTACAAATATCTACAGTATCTTTTCCTCCTACACACATAACACCCTCACCTACATCCACAAACATAATCATTATATTTCTCTAAATATCTCTATATACACCTACTTATAACATATATTATATCAAATTATATACTTAATCACTTACTTCTAAACTTCAACCATTTTACTAAATCATATAAAAATAGTTAAAATCCTTTTATTATATATAATAACAATACTTTCTAATTATACATCAACTCAATATAATATCTCCTAATTTAATACACCCAATCCTAATTCCTCATCAACTTCCTATCATATAATCCCATACCTTCTCTCATTTTCAACTAAAACCATGTTTTACACCTTCCATTAATATTCATCCATCTATTTCATCTCATCTTTACCTCTCACTAATTATCTCCTCTCTCTATTAAAAATACTACAACTTCTTCTTTCCTTTCCCCAAACTCAAATAAATTTCTCATATCATCTGTAACATATACATACATACCTCTGAATACAATCTTTAATTTACAAAATAAACAAATAAAATAGGGTATGACAAAATATTAAGAATCTTTCCACATTAATTATCATCTATTTATAAAATAATCAACTCTTTCTTCACACTTCTTCATACTTTTTCTTTAATATCTTTATAAACTTATATCTTAATATTTCTATATTACTTACATATAACTTATTCACTTTAAATCATCTCTATAATATATCAGGTAAGTTTTTCTGTTCCCAAATATGTGTCAGCGCAGAACTCTTTTTTTTTTTATTTTTTTTTTTTTTATCTCTATCTCACTCATATTACTCTTTCCTACTTTCCATCATAATATTCCTTTATTCTTTATATACATCCACTTCATATACCGCTTTTCACTTCCTAACATCATTTAACTCTCATCCTCTATCCCTTCCTTTCATTTAATCTCACCCTTCAAACACACTCTAATCAAATTATTTATTTCACTACCATTCCCTCTTATAACTTTCAATACAATTTTATATATAACTTTGCATTTAATATCACTTTTTTTATCAATGACACATCTAAAACCTTCATACACTCCTCTATCCTATCTATACCCCTAATAAATTATTCCTTTTCTACTACTACACTATACAAAAAACTATTTATCTTCTTACTTAAAATAATCCATTTTTTAATTTCTTAATCTCCTTATACCTCTTCCAATATTTTACATCAAATTTTTCTATACAAAATACAAATCTCTACCATATCCTTATATCCCACTTACTAATACATTATACTTCCCACTCTCTAATTCAAATTTAAATAATTCCTCATATTTTATTCTTCATTTCTCTCATAACACAAAAATCATTATATTTCTTTTTATTTCTTTCATTCATCAACTTCCCAATTCATTACCCAAATATTTATCTCTTTCTAGGAAATTTTGGTAGGCCTTGGGTTTGGTACGCCTTTTCAGTTATCTAACTATAAATAATAATGATTATGCTAACCAGTACTAGACATGGAGATGGACAGGGGCATGCCCAGAGGGGGGCGTAAAATATGATTGGTTCCTACTTATGCCCTGCTCAAGGAATGCTTTTGGACTGGAGTACTGCTAAATGTGCAGTATCCAGTACCCACTAGATGACAGCATAGATAGAATCATATTGAAATTTAATGAGTACATTTAGTTAGGTTATTTTACTGAACTACAGATTTAACGTACTTCAGTATTCTGCATCTACTTCTCTAAAATTTGGATGCAGATGTTATACTTTATACCCCATACACCATTTAATTTAAAGCTGTAGCTAGTAATTTATTATTTGCACATCTGAAAGTAAAAAACTCTAATAATTAATTATGATGTATATAAGTAGTATTTACATTAATGAATCCAATATTAAGGAGGATTATGGCTTTTACTCACCCGCTTCTTTCACCACTTTGCAAAACAGTGTTGTTCACACGTATAACACTATTTGTTGGAGTGTAAAGGGTCGCATATGAGCTCAGAAATCATGACCAGTGTTTGACATACTGGTTTCGTTCTCTTGAATAAAGATAAATCTTACAAATTTTGGAAAATTGTTTTTTTCATTAGATTAACGAAATTAAGACTGGACTTCGGTCTTCAGTACTGTTTGGAGGGCTGCGTGTGCCCCAAGACTCCTGGGTCCTCTGTCTGCCTCTGGCACCTGAGGGGCATTATTGAGCACAAACACAAACACTAATGCACATGTTTACCATATTTTTTTTTCAGGTATTGCTTGTTTTTTGTAATAATCGTAAGCGAGATTAAAGAGATCAGCAATAAGGTCTCCATCCTCTCCAGTTGCTACAAATGCTTACATGCATCAATATCATCTTCAGAAATTATTTTAATTAAACTTACACCTGGTCTCATCTCTGTGTTTCTGTAACATAAATAACGAGCCTACATTTTCCTCATGACACCAGCAATCAGCTCATCTTTCATCTTTCTACATCTGTTCTTTCTTTGTTTTGTCTCTTTGTTCCTTCTGTTCTTATAGCTGCTTTTATGTCTTTCTCCTTTCAGGAGTTTTGTTTTCACATTAACATTTTGGATGCTTTATCTCTTTCTAGGAAATTTTGGTAGGCCTTGGGTTTGGTACGCCTTTTCAGTTATCTAACTATAAATAA